GTTCCCACCGCCTTCTGGCCCGCACCGCCCCTGCCTTTCTGCAAGCTCGGGCCTGACCTTGTTGCCTGCACCTACCGGCTGTCTCTTCCCGCGTCTAGCCCTCACCTCCATGCCTCAGTTCACTGCTCCTTATAGTGGCCCCATCCCCCCGAATTTAGGCCTGGCCAGTCGCTCCACTTCTCCACCCTGCTCAGCAGTTGTTGACCACCCCGTCACCGGTCTCCTTCCAGGCTGGTCCTGCCATGTGGTAACCAGACCCCCTGCTTCCATGGGGGCCCACATCCTGTGTTTCCCCCTCTCCACACCTTTTTTTTTTTTACTTTCATCCTTGTACCCCATTATGACCCCTGCCCTGATTACCATCTCTTCTTCTGGGTTTACCTTCCACTCTTATTCTCGCCATTCCCTGCTGCCCCGCACTCTGTATCGCACAGCTGTCTGTTCCGGGCTCCTGGCACAGCCATCACCCCGCTCCCCTTCATAACCTGACTTTACAGTGTCCCGTGGAGAACTGGCCTGCCTTCTCCAGCTAAGAGTAATGACATTAGATCATGTTTACAGAGCATTCACCATGCGCAGGGCGGCTGTTCGCAGTGCTTTACATGGGCGATCATCAGTGTTTACTTGATGAGTTCAGTATGAATATCATTCCCATCTTGCGGAGGAGGAAACTGAGGCTCAGAGGTTAAGTAACTTGCCAAAAACTACACACATAGTAAGTCAGTGAGCCAGAATGCAGAGTCACATTTATCTGACGCTGAAATCTGCACTATATTGCCTCTCTCATACCTCCACCATCTCCTGACCTCATTCCCAGCCCTTCAACTCCACGATTACCACCTCCCTCCATAGCTGCCTGACTTAGACCCTCACCACACAGGTAGAATAAATGGAGGACGGGGTCTGGTCTTTCCCTCCCATGATTTTATCTGGTTCCCTGGACCCCTCCTCCTTGCACAGTACTCTCATGTGCTTTTCCCATCCAGCCATCTGGATGTGGGTGTCTGCAGCCCACCCTCCTTTCATCGATATTCTCTATAGCTGCCATGGCCCACTCTTTATATCCACCTTCCAGCGTTACCCTGTCATTTATAACCCCCCCCCCCAAAAACCCACCCTGACTTTCCTCACTTGTTCTGGCCCCACAGCCTCCCATGCTGCTGTCCTTCGTGCTCATCCTTGTCATTCTTCTGAGTCCTGATCTGCATCCCTCAGACACCCTGCTGCTCTGCCCAGATTGTCCTGCTTAACTGCCACCTCTTTTTGTTACCTTGCCTGTTCTCATCTCAACCTCTTCCATTTCTTAAACCTCTTTGTTTTACCCTTAGCTGTTTTCACTCCATTCTTCCTTTTTGTATATATCTCAGAGTATGTTCAAGTTAATTTATTTCATGCTATTCTTGGCCTTTCTACTTGGCCCCTAAATCCCGTCATGCAACCTACCAATCACCACCCACCCCGTCGGTGTCTCAAGATTCTACCCCCTCCATGTAGTCTTTCCCCTTATTCCATATTACCTTTATCTTTTCTGCTTGTGTGTCCCAGGAGGTCAGGATGGTGGGGGAACGGCGCACTGGGGACCTCATGGTGCCCTTGGGGCCTCGGCTGCAGGCATATCCCGAAGAACTTATTCGACAGCGTCCTGGCCACGATGGACATCCTGAATACCTGATCCGATGGAGTGTCCTGAAGTGTGGGGAAGTGGGTAGAGTGGATGTGGAAGAGGGCAAGGCAGAGCACATCCTCATGTGGCTGTCAGCCCCCGAGGTCTATGCCAACTGCCCCACGCTGCTGGGTGAGTGGGCACTATCTAAAGGACCTCAGCGTGAGCCAGCGGGGGGTGCAGGAAGCTTTCCCCGAGATCCAGGAGGCCTGGATGACGTGGCAATGGGAGAGATGGAAACTGATGTCCGGGCGCTGGTGCAGAGGGCTGCCAGGCAGCTGGCAGAAGGTGGGACCTCGAGCCTCACGGCCGCTGTGCTCCACACCATCCACGTGCTCAGTGCCTACGCCAGCATCGGGCCCCTCACTGGGGTCTTCCGGGAGACGGGAGCCCTGGACCTGCTCATGCACATGCTGTGCAACCCCGAGCCTCAGATCCGGCGGAGTGCGGGCAAGTTGCTGCAGGCTCTGGCAGCCCACGACGCTGGTAAGAGACGGCCAGGGGAGGAAGGCAAGAGAATGGGGCCACAAGGAGTAAGAACAGGAAGAGGAAGGATTTCCCAACTCTGACACCAACTCAATGCAAAGGAAAACTGTAGCTTGATAGGCTATTACTTATTAATCTATGTAGGATAAAATGATAGGAACCGGTTTGTTTGTTCATTCTCAGTGCAGTGACAAAGAAGAGAATAGGGTAGGTTTATATTTTTAAACTGTGGGTTGAGATTCATTAGTTGGTGAATCCTCTCTATTCTTCTTCCCTCTGTCTTGGGTGGCGCATAGTTGTAAAACCAGTTTGGTGAGTTATAACCAACATTTTTAAAAAATGTTAAAATATTAGTATTAGCACTTAAGGTAAGTTTTGTAGCAGTTCAGTGTAAGTTTTGGAGTTCAGGGTATGTTTCAGTTATAGACCTCTACATCTACATCAGGCTGCCACGTAAAATGTATATCCTACTGTGAGTCTCAGCCACAAAAAAGTGAAGACCGCGGGCAGGGGATGGAGAGTCTAGGAGAGACAGAGGGAAAGTATCGGGGATTGAGGAGAGGATACGGATTGGGTGTGGCTTACAGGGAGTCGGGCTCACGTCCTTCTGTCACTGAGCCAGCAAGATGGCATCGAGCAGCACATGGACTTTGACAGCCGCTATACTTTGCTGGAGCTGTTTGCAGAAACCACATCCTCTGAGGAGCACTGCATGGCCTTTGAGGGCATTCACCTGCCTCAGGTACTCGGCCCGCCTCAGGCTGTGGGGCACAAGCTGTTGTAGGCCTTGGGCATCGTTCCTGACAGTGTGGTTCAGAGCCACCTGGGAGATTCTTAAAACGGAGGTTCATGCCCCCTCCCCACTCGGAACTCCTGAGATTCGAACTCGGGAATCTGTGTTTTAAGACACCTCTTGGGTGTTTCTCATATAAATCACAGTTTGAGAACTATAGGTATGAGGATGAGGCCTTTATGTTTTTCTGTAGAGGATGCTATTGAGGGGAAAGGAGAGAGGGGCTAAGGCTGGGAGATGAACCTACACCACACTGTTCCCTACAGATCCCAGGAAAGCTGCTCTTCTCCCTGGTGAAACGCTACCTGTGTGTCACTTCCTTGCTGGACCAGCTGAATAACAGTCCAGAGCCCGGGGCTGGAGACCGAGGCTCCCTGCCCCCAGGGGAGGAGAAAAGCCGGGGGCAGCGGGAGCTGGAGTTCAGTATGGCTGTGGGCAACCTCATCTCAGAGCTGGTGCGGAGCATGGGCTGGGCCCAGAACCTCGGCGAGAGGGACATGTCGCCTCCCCGGCCGGCCCGGTCCATCTTTCAGCCCTGCATTTCAGGCCCCAGCGGTTTACTCCCCACCACGGTCACCACCCCCAGAAAGCAAGAACGGGCCTTCCGCCAGCGTTACCAGTTCTCTAGCCGTAGTGGCTATGGTGAATACGTGCAGCAGACACTAGTGCCAGGGATGCGCGTGCGGATGCTGGATGATTACGAGGAGGTCAGTGCCGGGGAGGAGGGCGAGTTCCGGCAGAGCAACAATGGCGTGCCCCCTGTGCAGGTGAGCGAGCGCATGGCGGTGGGACCCTGATGGGGATCCTTTTGGGTGGGCATAGCTGGGGCTTCTTGGCAGGCCACCCAAGGAGAAAATTCCCAAGGGAACTAGACTGGTTAAAGGGGATCAGCACTTGAAGGGGGGCTTTCGGGGGCCTGAGGAAATCCGGCAGGAGTAGGTGGGCTATGAGGTCAAAGAGAGACTCACACCCAGGAAGCAGAACCCCATATCTGGAGACAGCCCTGCCCCCTACCCATGTAGTTGGCTGGGAGGGCGTGTGGAAGCAGAGGCCATCAAGATTCGGGAGAGATGAGAGGCAGGGCCTCCTCTGACAGGGAAAGGGAGCCTTTGGCTATCCGGAGGATTTCCCAAGCCTAGCCAGGTGTGCATCTGAGGGCTGTATGCCCCGGTCTTGGCCCAGCATGCCCCCTCAAGCCTGCACAACCCAGGACTCAGATGGTGAGCCCTCTCTGTTCTCCTTCCCTCTGTCTTGCTCCATACCAGGTCTTCTGGCAGGTGATGGGTCGCACCTACTGGGTGCACTGGCACATGCTAGAGATCCTGGGCCCTGAGGAAGCTGCTGTGGGTACAGCTTCAGCAGCTGTGGAGAAGAGGGCAGGGCCCATTCTGTTGGGCACAGGTGAGTCTTAGGGGGGACATGGACCTTGTGTCCCTGAACCGAGGAGGAGTGGCTGGGACGAAGCCACCCCTGACCCGCAGCTGCCCCAGAGATTCAGAAATGCCCTCTGTCCCTGGCGGCTGCTGAGACGCTGTGCCTGTGTCCTCAGCACTTCCCTCCTGGGACCGGAAGCCTGTGGATAGGCTCTACTCTCTGCCGTATCTCCAGCCTGAGCCTCAGAAGAAGGAGAAGTTGGGTTGCCTGACCCAGGCTGAGTGGTGGGAACTGCTCTTCTTCATCAAGAAGTTGGACATAAGTGAGCAGCAGCCAATTTTTCAGAATCTTCGGGAGAACCTGGATGAGGTATTATGGGCCTGAGACCCCTAGGGGGTTGGTAGTGGGGTTAGAAGTGGGGTTGTCCAAGGGAATTCTAGATACAGGAGTGCTTAGGAGGAGGCTGGTGCTGTAGGTTAGAGAGGATGAGGGGCGCTGCTGTGGGAGGAGACAGAAGCTGTGAGGGTGCGGTAGGTAGGTGTGCAGGGCATGGCGAGAGGTGGCCACCCTTCCCCGGGACCTTTGTGTCTCTTGTTCCTGATACGCGTACACGCATCTGCTGACAGACCCTGGATGAAAAGACCCTCGGTGAGATCTCCGTGCCCAAAGAGGTGGCTGAAGGCCTGCTGCAGGTTCTCTGGAACCGGTTTGAGGGGAGCACCCTCAGTGACCTGCTCAACTCCAAAATCTACACCAAGTACGGGCTGCGACCTGATAAACTAAGCAGCTCATCTTATTCCCGAAGTCGCTCCTGTACCCCGGGTCCAGAAGAGGAGCTCAAGTCAGAGGCCAGGTTCTCAGAGGAAGAGACCGAGTCCCCCAAAGCAAAGGCTGAGCCCCACAAAGCAGAGGCAGAGGCTGCCAAGGGAAAAACTCAGCGCCCCATGGCACAGAGTGATTCACAACTGTTTAACCGGCTTCTGCTGACTGAGGGAATGGCTCTGTCCCCCAAAGTAAAGGAGGCAGCCAGTGGTGAGTTATGTGCCGGGAGGGGAGGGCATTAAAGTTGGAAAAAGTCCTGGGTGGTCCCCCAGAGAAATGGGTAGTCAGAGGGAAAGACATGAAAAAAAGGTCATGTTAGCTGGTTTAGCTCAGTGGATAGAGTGTCAGCCTACGTACTGAAATGTCCCGGGTTTGATTCCAGTCAAGGGCATGTACCTCAGTTGCAGGCTCCTCCCTGGTCAGGGCCCTGGTCCGGCACATGCAGGAGGCAACCAGTCGATGGGTTTCTCTCACATCAGTGTTTCTGTCTTTCCCTCTCTCTTCCACTCTCTCTCAAAATCAATGGAAAAATATCCTTGGGTGAGGATTTAAAGAAAAAAAAAGGCCACATTTGTACAGGAAAATGATTTGGAAGCATTTATCAGTTTTCCTTCCTTGGCCTTGATTGTATCTAATCACTCACAGCTCCCTTTCTTTAGTATCCCTGGAAAAGGAGTGCCCATTTTCCAGGGAATCTTTGTCTTCAATGTTTGACTATTTTTCTTTTTTAAAATATATTTTTTTTATTGATTTCAGAGAGGAAGGGAGAGGGATAGAGAGATAGAAACAGCAATGATGAGAGAATCATTGACCGGCTGCCTCCTGCACGCCCCCTACTGGGGATCGAGCCCACAAACCAGGCATGTGCCTTGACCAGGAATCGAACCGATGACCTCTTGGTTCCTGGGTCAATACTAAACCATTGATGTTTCTCTCTCATCGATGTTTCTAACTCTCTGTCTCTCTCTCTTCCTCTCTGTAAAAAATCAATAAAATATATTTTTAAAAAAAATTTGGCTCTCAAAAGAAATTTCAATCGTTGTACTGTTGATATTTGGCTCTGCTGACTAATGAGTTTGCCGACCACTGAGCTAGGGCAATGTTTGACTATTAAATGCTTTTCACAGAATTAGATATGTTCTGAATGCAAGCTACAATGATGAATAATATATTAAAACTAGAGGCCTGATGCACAAAATTTGTGCAAGGGGCTCGGCTCTCATAGCCACGGCTTCATTGTTCTGCTGTGTGGTCTAATTAGCATAATAGCTCTTTATTATAGAGGATTATAGAGGATGTCAGTCGGAAAACTGGGCTTGACCTTTAAGGACTTCTAACGTGGAGGTGCCATATTTTTTTAAGCCATTGCCTTTCCCTCATCCATTTCAGAAATGGCTAGAGCCTTGCGGGGTCCAGGTCCACGCAGCTCCCTGGATCAGCAAGTGGCGGCTGTTGTGGCTACAGTGCAGATAACCAGCTTGGACACAAACCTGCAGCTGTCAAGCCTCGATGCCCTCTCGCAGGCTGTGGAGGAGGTCACTGAGCGGGACCACCCTCTGGTCCGTCCTGACAGATCCCTGAGGTTGGAATGGTGGAGAGGGAAGCAGTTTGGTTTAAGCTGGTGGGGTGGGAAGGATCTGTGAGATTAAGAATCAGGCTGAGAGTGAAAGGAGGGTCAGTCGGAGGAGCAACAGAGCGGGAGGATGGAATATTACTGAGGCTAATATTGTCAGAGCATTTGTTTTTTGGGCTTTAACGTTTTGCTTGCATTCTCTCATTAAGTCCTCCTGTCATCTGAGGAAGATTCACTCCTATTCTCATCCCATTGTATGGGTGAGGAAACTGAGGCTTAGGGAGTTTAACCAACTTGCCCAGAGTTTGAGAGAAAGCAGAGCTCGGATTCAAATCTAGGAACTTTTGGCTCCAGAACTTGAGTTTTTTTCTTTTCTCTTCTCTTCTTTTTTCCTACCTCCCTACTTTCTATTTTGAAATGGGGTTTTAATACCCCTTAATTATGTAAATAATATACAAATACATTCTCATTTTAAAAGATCTGAAGACCATAAAAGAACATAGAATGAAAAGCTAATTTCTTTTCACCACTGTCATTTGGATGTGTATCCTTCTGACCTTCTCTAGTTTTACATTTGTTGGTGTGTTTGGATCTAGAACATTTCCCGAGTTTGTGTCTTAATATATGTAATCACGCTACATGTTTCTGCAACTTTTCTCCCACACTCAGTATGTCTAACAGGGCTCTCCATGTCAGTACGCATAGAGCTGCCTCAATATTTTCACTCTGCATAGGACTCTGGAATACGATTATGTCCAAGTTCAAATACAGAGTTTCCCTCACATCTGCCAACACTGGATATTAGCATTTTTTAAGAATCTGTCTGATTGGCAAAATTTAAAATGATTGGTATCTCCTTGTTTTAATTTCTTAGTTCTAGTGAAGTTAGGTATATTTGCACTCATTTGTTGTGTTTCTTCTATAAATATTGTGGTTTTTGTTTGTTTCTTTGTTTTTAATATATATTTTTTATTTCAGAGAGGAAGGGAGAGAGAGAGAGACAGAAACATCAATAAGAGAGAATCATTGATTGGCTGCCTCCTGCACACCCCACACTGGGGATAGAGCCTGCAACCCAGTGCCCTGGCTGGGAATCAAACCATTACGTTTTGATTCACAGTTTGATGCTCACCCACTGAGCCATGCTGGCCGGGCTAAATATTCTGTTTTTACCTTTGCCCATTTTCTTACTGGGTCTTTTTCTTATTGACTTATAGACATTCTGGATATTAATCTGTTATTTATATTTCAAATATCTTGCCTTTTTTTCAAAATCATAACTATTTTCTCAATATAAAATGATTCATGCTCACTGTAAGAAAATGGGAAAATTATGAAGGTAAAAATTATCTGAAAACCTTTATGCAGAGATAGTCACTGTTAACATTTCCGTAAACACCCTTATTTATGTTCCTATACCTATTCAGATATAGTACCTATGTGTGTTAACCCATTTGTCAGAACCATGACTGCAGAGGGCATATATATTTAAAGCGTATTTGACTCACTTTAAAATCATAAAGCATGAGAAAAGACAGATAAAAACTGGACTTCCCCAGTACCTGTATTTGCCTTCTTTTTCCAGAATTTCTCCTTTTGTGTTTCTTAACTCCATAGTTCATAGACTACCTCCTCAGTATGCATCTCTGTCCCTGTGGAGAAAGAGTCATTCCTGGTTTTTCCCCCTCTTGTGATGGTCACTGTGATCTAGGGACTCGGGGGCGGGGGGCGGAATTCCTCCTTTCCTTACGATCGCATTTCCACTGGACCCTCTCTCTGACTCTTGTTGCTTATCTCTTAACTTTGTGGGTAGTGCCTTTTATTGTGCTCAAGGTTTAGATTGTAGTGTTGGTATATTTTTCAACTTTTTATTTTGGCTTCTAGATTTTAAGTCCTACTTAAGAGGGGCTATCCTATTCCAGGATTACAAAAATATTTCCCGCCCTGGCCAGTGTTCTCAGTGGTTAGAGTATGGGCCCACGCACCAAAGAGTCTCGGGCGGGAGGCATCCAGTCTGTGTGTCTCTCCCACATTGATATTTCTCTCTCTCTCTCTCTCTCTCTCTCTCTCTCTCTCTCTCTCTCTTCCTCTCTCCCTTCTCCCTCCACTCTCTTTAAAAATCAGTGGAGCCAGCTGACTTGGCTCAGTGGTTGAGCTGGTTGAGCGTCGACCTGTCAGCCAGGAGGTCAGGGTTCAATACCAATCAGGGCACATGCCTGGGGGGGCGTGCAGGAGGCAGCCTGTCATTAATTCTCCCTCATTATTGATGTTTTTACCTCTCTCTCTCCCTCTCCCTTCCTCTCTGAAATCAATTTTTTAAAAAGCTAAAAAAATGAATGGAAAAAATGTCCTCGGATAAGGATGAACCAAAATTAACAAAAATATATGTCCATATATATTCTAAAAATATCTATGATTTTGGCTTTTATATTTATTTTAAAATGTTTGCTATTTATTTTTGCAAATGAAGTGAAGCGGAGTTCCAGCTTTATTTTTTCCAGGTGGATAGCCAGGTGTCTCCACATCATGTTTCGCATGGTCCTTCCTGACCTTTCTGACTGGGATGCGGCCCTTGTCTCCCTTCTCATCTGTTGATCTGTTTGACTACCCTGTATTATCTCCAGAGTTTTCATTATTAGAACTTTATATTTATACTTTGATAACTAGTAGGCAAGTGTATTCTTTGTTTCCAAACACTTTTTGACTATTCCTGCATATTTCCCTTCCTGGGCCTGAATCTGCCTATCATGTTTAAAGAAATGAACTTTTTAGGCATTTTGATTAGAATTTCATTGAGTTTATAGACTTAGTTAAAAAGATGAGCCAGAGTTTGTAACCAGTTTGTGCTGCTGACTCCTTCATGAAGTGAGGAGCCAGAGGCAGACAGACTGCCGTGGAGGGGGCATCAGGAGTGAGGCTGAGGCAGGAAGAGCAGGTGGGAAGGGGAAGGGGTGAGGGACCGGAACTCGGTGTACAGGGCTAGGCGGGGAGTCAGGCATGACTCTTGGGGTGGGAAATGCCCATTTCTCTCCTCCCAGAGAGAAGCTAGTGAAGACACTGATGGAGCTGCTGACCAACCAGGTGGGAGAGAAGATGGTGGTGGTGCTGACCCTGCGCCTCCTGTACTTGCTCATGACCAAGCATGAATGGCGCCCCCTCTTTGCCAGGGAGGGTGGCATCTACGCTGTGCTGGTTTGCATGCAAGAATACAAGACTTCCGTCTTGGTGCAGCAGGCAGGCCTGGCGGTGAGTGGACTGGGAGTGAGTGAGGGGTGAGATGGGCAGGGTGGGGGACTGCTGGCCTCGGGGAGGTACTGTGGTGATTTACATCACGGGGGAGGCCTTGGGACCAGAAGATGCAGGTGGGTTTAAGAGTTCCAGCTGGACAGTCTTGGAGAGAGAGTGCCGCTTGAAGAAAGGGAGAAAGATGTCTGTAAGAATGACTGCAAGTTTGCAGCTGAGCGGCAGATGGGTGAGGTGGCCATTTACGAGGTGGACGAATGTTGGAGGAGGAAGAGGAATGGGGATGAGGTTCGGAGTTGGGTTTTTAGGTATGTTGAATTTTCCATGCCTTTTTAGTTACAATTAAGTGTCTGGTTAAAGACTAATTTTCTGGATGTGACAGAGTAGGTTTTTACCCTTTGATCTGAGTTTTTACCCTTATACAGAAAATACCCCTTCCCTTATGTGTGTAAAACAAAGCCAGCATTGCCATTGTCTTGCCACCCTGGGACCAGAAAATGGAGAAGGGAGGCCCTCGTCCAGGGGAGCTTAAGAGAATTGGCTTCCAGAATGATCCAGGCATTCGTGCTGGCTGGCAGGATGTGGCAGGGTGTGCTCTGTATAGGCTGAGGGTCCTGGAGGGGGACAGGGAGGCCTCAGGTATGAGAATGCTTTCCAAGTACAAAGGCAAAGTGTGGACAGGAGCACAGATCCCCCTGGAGCAGGCTGTCCCAGGGAGAGGCGGGAGGCTCTTTTCTCTGTGGGCCTACTGTATGCTGCTTCTCCCAAGAGCAGCCAAGCATTCATCGTCTAGGCCAGCGGTCAGCAAACTCATTAGTCATCAGAGCCAAATATCAATAGTACAACGATTGAAATTTCTTTTGAGAGCCAAATTTTTAAACTTAAACTATATAGGTAGGTACATTGTTATTAACTTAATTAGGGTACTCCTAAGGCTTAGGAAGAGCCACACTCAAGGGGCCAAAGAGCCACGTGTGGCTCGCGAACCGCAGTTTGCTGACCATGGGTCTAGGCCATGTCTGCTGATAGAATTCCCTGACCTTTTCAAGTTGCTTGACCATAATACAGCATTTGCCTCTTGCCCTGTAACAAAATTGCACCATTTTGTATCTGACATGAGGTCTACAGAATTCAGCTAATTGGGAGAGAGTGGGGTAGCCCAAGGGAGAAAGCCTTATGATGAGGCAGCACTTGCTTTGGGGGCCCAGGTCTCAGGAGGGCGATTTTCCTGGGAATTATGTCTAATTCCTAGAGGGTTTCTTCTTGGGAGCCAACT